TCCAACATCCCCAAACAAGGAACTCCAGCATCCTCAGAGTTCCAACATCCTCAAACAAGGAACTCCAGCATCCTCAAAGAACTCCAACATCCCCAAACAAGGAGCTCCAACATCCTCAAACAAGGAGCTCCAGCATCCTCAAACAAGGAGCTCCAGCATCCTCAAACAAGGAGCTCCAGCATCCTCAAAGAACTCCAACATCCTCAAACAAAGAGTTCCAACATCCTCAAACAAGGAGCTCCAGCATCCTCAAAGAGCTCCAGCATCCCAACATCCTCAAACAAGAAACTCCAGCACCCTCAAACAAGGAGCTCCAACATCCTCATCAGGGATTGAAATCCAAAAGACCAAAAACATGACCATTAAAACCCCTCCCTTCACACAAAGACATCTGAAAGCATTTACCTGACTGCTTTAAGTAGTACTTGACAACCGAGGAGATGCCCTGGGGYGCCACGTAATTGCAGGAGCCTTCTCTCACCACCATTCCTTCCACAGGGGCAGTCAGTGGCTTCAGGATGCCATGAGACAGAAGCTCCTCGTAGAAGCTTGAAGGGAAGAAACACATAGGGATGAAAACTTGCTCTCTTTTTCATAAATRAAGTCAAGACCAGCCTGACTTTTGGATTTGAACAAGCTGCATTTCAAGGCAGGTTATGCACAAAGACATCTGTAAAACAACACACTACCTTGCTTATGGCACTGGGCYCAGGCCTTTCACCTGAGAGCAAAGCTACCTGCAATGGAACTGCCAGTGGCTTGACCCAGAGGCAGAGGAATAAAAGACAGTCCCTGAAAGCTCTGAGCAGCAGCACAAACTCCACGGCCACTGGACGCAGGTGCCTGAAACTCACTCTGCCTTCTCCCTACTTTCTTTGCACGCAAATTCTGCGTTGCTACACCTCGCGATACCCCTGCATCTTTTACCCCAACCCACGAGTTTCCCACCTCTCACCCCTCCCCTCCTCCTCCCGATTCCGCTGCGGGGGTTTGGCCGCTGGCACAGCACATGTGCACGCAGCCAGCGCCACCAGCGGGGTCCTTCCCTGTCCCCGCGCCGGGCCACCAAACCCGCCCCAGCAAGCGCTTGACACCTGCGGCGGCAGAGAGGGGTGGGATCAGCGGGATGGGGGCGGGATGGGAGGGATAAGGGCGGGATAAGGGGAGGGACAGAAGCGAGATACGGGCGGGATAGGGGGCGGGATAGG